TCAACTATAACATGAGAAGTAAGTAAATTTTAAAAAAATTAAAAATTTAAAAACGTCAAAGAAAGTAAAAAAATTGCTCTTTGTTTTTCTATTTCTCAATTTTTTTCATAGCTCATAGATTTTATTGGGGGGGTGGTGGGGGGGTGGGGGGGGGGGGGGGGGGGGGGGGGGGGGGGGGAGGGGGGAGCGATGAACGGTTGTGGGTGGTGGTTAGGAAAAAAGTCCTAAAATACAGACCCTACTTATGACCACACCCTCGATTTTATCAAAGGACAAAATGCAAGCCGTTTCATTCTTGTTTTAAAGGCCATTATTTAATCAATCGTGCAGCGAATACCCTCTTGATATTGAGAAAAAACTCGCAGAAAAGTATCAGACTATTTGAATACCATCTCCCCTGACCAGCGGGCCCCCATTTAATTATCTTAAGGAGTACAGCTCCCCAGATCGTATCTTATCTAAGAAACTTCTCTGAAAGAACAATACGGCAAAGTAGGTCACTAAACAAACACCAATTGCATTTACTTTCTTTATTTTCTATGCGAGTCTAATAACAGGGTTGGAAAACGGACAATGGGTTTATTTCAACTTATCTCCTCGGCTATTTTCGAAAGATAACAGATGTGACATGGCACTTGATGCAGTAAGTGCCCTCATTGAGGTACATGTTCGTATAAGAATACCTCACGGTCCCGGCCGGCAAAAGAAGCAAAAGAAAGGCGAGGGAGTATTGAGAGCGTAGACGACCTTTGATCGGGCCGGGGGAGGTCAATGGAAAAGCACCCAGCGTTTTCCTTCCTCCTTGAAAGGTCGATTCACGAGCTTAGTAATAAGATTTTTCGATGACTTTATTGAAGAGGATGATATCACAAATAAGAGAAATCTTTACGTGCTGCATGGGGGCTTGGGTCATGGGTGGGCGGGATACTCCCAGGAAAGAGAAAGGGTTCTTGCTGTCTCGGATAGGCGTGTAGATTTCCCGCAAGGGTATCCTAAAGGAAAAGATGGCAGCTCTGTTCTAACGATTAACTTAGCTTAACACGGAAGCCAAAAATTATTTTCATGAAGTGTAACTTTTCTCTAAGGTAGATTTTATTCTCCATCAAGCATACCCGTACATCCTTTCATGTAGAAACGTCACCTCCGGTTCCAAATAACGTGAGCAAGGCGAAGGCGTTAAAAAAGGCGTCAAAGGAGGGCCACTGCCCTTTTCAGATACTATCTGCAAAAAGAATTATTTTTATTTCCCTCACCTGCTGTTAAGAAAGAAAGGACACGACACTTGATCTTAGACACGACATTTGATCTTGTCACCAACGCATTAAGCTTAAAATAAATATACAAACTCATGTGACGGCCTTTGCTCCTGTCGTCTCTTTTTGGCTTGAACGGTACTAGCCTGACAGCAAGCTATTTTTTTTTTTGTCTAGACGTGAAAGTTTCAACCGAAGAAAGGGTTGGTGTTTGCTCAAATATGTTTTCTAATTTCCAATTTCTGTTCCATAAATTTCGTGCTTTATTTTCTGCTCACAAGAATCACGATTTTTAAAATGAAGTTACACAGACTTCATTGTTTTTTTGTTTCTTCTTTTTTTTTTCACAAATCGACAAGCACACCGAGCAATAGCGAGTGCGGAGTGAGAGACGGAAGGGAGCCTATCTTGTCTTTTTCCTAACCCCACAATCCTACTATATACAAGGTAGCCGAGAACAGCCTATAGCCGCCTCCTGAAAATAAAGACAAACTAGTTCTGATCACGGTCGTATAAAAACAATATAAAAATACTCAGCCAAGCAGAAAAAGTCGCATACATCACGGC